TCTGACAAGGTCTCAGCCTTCCTTCTTTTCAAGGTTATTGAAAATAAAGCAGGAGTGTGGAAATGAAGAAACCTTGTATACTATTGTGTTAAGATTTTAAAGCCTCTTGCTCTATTCTCTTAATGAAAATCCTCCCCAGTTAACCACTTGGTATTCAATAGTTAAAATTAGCAATTAGCAAGCACAGAGATCTTAAGCACTCAACAGTGTAAAGGTTTAGACAGAAATCTTCAGCAGTTTGATAGTCTTGATCTGGGGAGATGTCTACTGCACTGACTGATCATGTTTTGTGGGATCATTTCCAGTTTCTGAGGACTGTGGATAGGACAAGATGATTGCATTTCTTTGGCCTATGACATGTACTTTAGATCCTTGCTGATCTAGATTATTAAAATCCAGCAGAGGAAGAGACAGGGTGAGCTCCAAGAAATGATAAATGCCTCATTAAACCTTGAAAGAGATGGTTCAGTCCCTCCTGAGGAGGACATCCCTCGACCTGGAGGTACTTGAGAACAAACGTCCTATCAAAATATCCCTGTCTTGGACAAGATACTTGAGAGGGTGGTGGTTGATCATCTCTATAAGTTTTTGGAGGATACAGATTAATTGGATCCATTCCAGTTGGATTTTGAACCTGCTTTTTGCATCAAAGGCACTTTGGATACTGTGCCACATAGTCTGGGAAAGACTGGAAAAAGTACAGTTCTGTTCATCCTCCTGAGTATTTCTGTGGCCTTTGGCACTATTCACTAAAATTATCCCACTGAATCAGTTATTTGGGGTTGGGATAGGAGGTGCTGTTCTTTCATGGTTCTAATTCTGCCCTCAGGATGGGTCTTCAACATTTTCGTAAATGACTTAGATGAGGGAATAGAAGGAATCAAGGGATAACATTTGCAGATGGTACAAAACTGGGGTGGACTGGTAACATTTCAGGAAATAGGCTCAAGAATCAAAAGGATCATGATAGACTTGAACACTGGGCCCTATTCAACAACATGCTATTCAGTGGAGAGAAGTGTAAGGTTCTGCACTTAGGCAGGAAATAACAGATGCACAGGTATACGATAGGCAGCACCTGGCTTAGCAGTAGTACTCACGAGATGGATCTGCGTGTCTTGGTAAACCATAGATTAAGCACAAGCTAGCAGTCTGCCTCAGCTGCCAAAAGAGCCATGCAGGTTTGAGCTACATCAACAGAGGTATAGTGTCAAGATCATAGGAAGTGATAGAACTATGCTGCACTGGTGAGACCACACTTGGAATATTGTGTCCAGTTCTGGTCACCACAGTATAAAAAGGACTCTGAGGAACTGGAAAGAGTGCAGAGAAGAGCAACAAGGATGGTAAGGAGCTTGGAGGATAAATCCTATGAAGAGCAGTTGAAGGAACTTGGGATAAAGAAGAGAAGGCAAGAGGAAACATGATAGCAATCTTCCAATGCATGAAAGGATGCCACAGGGCAGAGGGTGTGGATTTATTCTCCATAGCACCCAAGGATAAGATAAGAACCAATGGGTGGAAACTTAACAGAAAATGTTCCTAACTTGAAATAAGGGGGAATTTCCTGACTGTGAGAGCTATTAAACAGTGAAACTACCTGCCTCCGGAAGTTGTGGGTGCTCCATCACTGGAGGTTTTCGAGAAGAGATTGGACAGCCATTTGTCTGGGATGGTCTGAGGATTCCTACACTGGGCAGAGGTTGGAGTAGATGATCTCTGAGGTCACTTCCAACCCCATAATTCTGTATGGGCTCTAGAAAGGTATTTTTTAGGGATATGCTGCTTGGTTTCATGGTTGCTGGGTGGTATGATCTCACAAGGTCCATTCTTTCATCCTTGGTTTGTTTATTTATTATTAAATTTGTATGCCACCCATCTCCCCCAATGGGTGACTCTGGGCGGCTCATATCTGTATGAAGCTGCTGGGTAAGGACATGGAAGGGGTTGGGTGCCACCAGAGTGATATGAGGCTGTGCAAGTGTTAAACCAGTGCCTGGATTTGGTAATAGCGTGGATGAGGTCCAATAACATGAAGCTGAATCCTAAGAAAAGAGAGACACCATGGTTTGGGATACAGGCCCAATAATTGTGTATTTTTTATTTTGGATGGTTTCCTCTGAAGAAGCAGGTACGCAACTTTCATGTGCTGCTGGATCCACCTTTACCACTTGAGGCCTAGGTAACATTGGTGGCCTGGAATAACCTTGGCCAACCAAATTTGGTACAGAGGCTATAACGTTTTTTGGACAGAAATGGCCATGCTTTAGTAATTTCCCATTTTTATTACTCCAATACACTCTACATGGGTCTACCCTTGAGGGATTCAGAAATTCCATCTAGTATATATGGAAGTGAAGCTGTTATCCAGAATACCTTTCTGAGACCATATAACACCAGTCCTAAAAAATGAACATTAGCATTCTAATAATGAGGTTTATGGCCTTTAATGGTTAGGATCACAATACTTGATGGGGACTTTTCTTTAATATCTATCTATCTGGATGTTAAGATCTGTAGAGAAACCTTCCTCCAATTAGTATGGAAGAGATGTCAGCCCTGCAAAAAGCCCAAAGAAAAACCCAGCAAGTGTGTGTCACTAGACAGCATGTACATCAAAGTTGGTGGGAGGTAGGCCATATGTTGGCTTGCAATGTAGTTTCTAAATTAGGGAGCCTAGGCTACACAAAATAACATAAACGTGCCCAGAGCTACCCTTTCCATTAGCAAGAAAAGCTGCATCTGGCACAGATACAACTAAGGTTGGTAACTTAGTTCTCTATCTTCCTAAAAAGCATTATGTGACAGTCTCATTTGCTCAGAGCCAGGATGGGTAGTGGAAATCAAAAGCTATGGCCCATCAGGTGATGACCATGGCAAGTGGAAACCTAAGGAGTAAATACTAAAGTTGCCAAGAAAAAACTGCATAGATTTCTCCATATAATCACCAAAAGTTAAGACTGACTTGAAGGCACACATTTTTATGCTAAAATCCATGGATTAATAAGAGAAAAATAGATATGATTTGTATTTGTGAACGTAAGAAGGGGGAGGATATAGTAGATCTGAAGGAAGGTAGTCTAGTTTTGTGGTGTGGAGGAATACCTGCAGGGAAGTGAAGGCATAGTTTAATAAGGAGTGAATTAGCTAATGAGCTAGTATGTATGCCAGAAAGAATGAACGGATACTTTTTGTTGTGGGTGTATATGGAAGTAGGACTCCACAGATTGGTGATAGTTGCATGTTGCATTCCAATGAATAACAATAATGGAGGAATCAGGAAAGAATTTTGGGTAAAACTGTGGAATAGAAAATATATGTTCTGTTAAGTGACGTGGATGGATAAGTGAATCAGACAAAATGGTACAGAAAAAGTTTAATTGGACAACCTGGAACACCAAGAATGAATAAGAACCAATATAAAGGGGATGAGTATATAAAAGTTCTGAATGCAGGATGGACCAGGTTTTGGTAGTGTCAAGGGTAGATTTTGGGGGGAAAATGGGCATGGAGAAGGAAAGAATTAAAGTAGAACAACTGCACAAAGAGAAAATACAAGTTCTGTATGAAAAAGTATTAGAAAACAGATTACTCTCTCAGCAGAATAAAAATGGATCTAAAGAATCAGGGGGTGAAAGCTCCTTGGAACACAGAGAAAAGTATTATATTACAGATAAAAAACATTTTTGAAACAGTAAAAATTCTATCTAATGCTGGAATACTGAAGCTCCTTGCTTTCAACAGATTGTACAACAGCTTTCTTAACAAATACTGGTAAGCATATGGCCACAATCATGCTTTCTTTTGTAGTGATGAAAAATATTTTAGTTCATTTTAATAATTTGATAACTTTGGGAAAATCATATTGGCAAGAAATGGACCTAAAGATTCCTGTTCTTCAATTACCTGGCCTGAAATTCAGTGTTAGGTATTCACTTGTTGAACATTTTTAAAAATCTACTATAGGCAGTCATCACCCACTGTTCCCAAAGTAAGCCACTGGAAGTAGATGGCTCGAAGGAAAAACACAGCAATCTAACACAACTTATCACCTGCCATGGTGAAGCAGAGACCAATGACCCATCTAGCTTGCTGACAGTGACATCATCCATCACTTGCAATGATGGAGTTAATAAGGTGCTGTGCCTTCTGTAACAGAACTGCACTGCCTCTTCCACTGTCTGCTAGATCTTCAGCACCTCTCTCCTCATTTTAAAGGATCAGGTGCAGCTCACCTTTGTTATTAAAGGGTAGCAGCTTATTCTTTCCCATGCCCAAATCCAGACAAAGTCACGTTCACTTACAAGGTTTACATTGACTCCTACTGTACAGTAGTTCTCACCAACTGCCTCGTTCAGCGACTGTTCGAAGTTACGATGGTGCTGAAAAAGTAGGTCCTCAAACTTGTGGCTGTCACAGTGTCCCTGCAGTCACATAAACACAATTTAGGTACTTCGTAGCTGGTGTACATTTACGATGGTTGCAGCATCCCGTGGTTACATGATCACCATTTGTGATCTTCACAGCTGGCTTCTGACAAGTAAAGTCAATGGGGAAGCTGGCAGGAAGTAACAAGTCGTGGTCATGTGATGGTGTAAACAACCCATGGTGATTCACTTAACAACTGCAGCAGAACTGATGTAAGTCTGGTGCGGTCATGTGACATTTCACTTAACAACTGTATTGCTTAGCGATGGAGGTGCTGGTCAGTAAGTGAGGACTACTTGTAAATGTAAAATCTTCACGGTTTATTGAATAAACTACAACTGGCTAAGCTCTCACAACAAACAATGTTTTTGCTTTTTTTCCCCCTTACATCAAAGCTTATGATACCTCCAGCAAAATACCTTGCAGCGGTTCATCTATATGCTCTATTTCAAGCTTATAAACATAGATATTGCTTAAGGATGGGATTTAAAGATCTGAAGTTGCCCTTGAATGAGATGAATGACATGGCAAGTTGATTAAATTACACTGAATCATAAAGGAAAGATGCCAACTTAAAGCTTGATGTCAATATTTTATTGAGTTACTTTTTACATCATTGAAAAGACAATTCATTAAAATAAAAGACAATATACTGCAAACAACTGTACAATGGAGGAAACACTGAAATTTTACCGTTACCTGAACACACAGTCATAACAGCAACACTTAATGAACTAAGAACATTCCCTTTTAAAATTAGGCTTTGGGTAGGGGGAAAATCCAGTTTAAACTATTGGCAAGCATTCAAAGACAGGGGACGGATGAGCTGTTGCTTGATGTTGCCATTCTCCTAAGAGATCAGCCATGAACTGGGCATAGCAGCGGCATCTCTCTTTGGCAGAGGGAACCAGCGTGGCAAAAACAGCCAGGAGCCCCAGCTGCAGGCACAGCTCTCTTCTTTCTTTGAATCAAGGAAACTCAGATGCTTCCTCTGAGCTTTAAGGCAAAGAGAACAGATGATTTGTACACTCTGAGTGACAAAGTGCTCTGAGGTGCACTGGATCATTTCAAAGCCTAAATCAAAAGGAAGTCCTTAACAAGCGAACCAGTGAAAAACTATGCCTATTCAAGCCACTTTAATTAGATTTCTAACTGAGCAAACTGAGATAGGAGAGGATCAGGTTTGGTGCCTGAGAAAAAGTGATGCTACCCCCATTCTGATGCAGCAATAGCATGAATGAATGAGTTCTTACAAATGTTTATATGCCCCCTCAAGCACTAGACTCTAAGCAGCTTGAAAGCAACAAATTGTTAATTAGGCATCCTTTATTGCTGCCTAAAGGGCCAGGCCAGTCAGTAACAGAAGTACTTTAATATCTCAGACCATTTGGTTTTATTCCTATCATATGGCTATTTAAAACTGGGCAGCTATAGAACCAACTAAGACACATTTTTCTCATTTTGAAACTGGCTATGAAAATTGTCTCCAATTAGTAAAATGGAACATTATTCAGGTGCCCTCTTTTGATCCTCCTAACTCTGGCTCTGCCGTGACACTTGGTTCTGCATATCACTGTTTTCTATTTGTTGCAACCTAGAACATACTTGCTGCAACCTGGAAACAGTTGTTAGCATCTCCCTGGTGTGTTGAGAATGAACAGAAAATGATTAATTTGAAAGAAGCAGAGAAAGAAATTAGGAAAAAACTTACAGTACTCTCTCTGCAATCCCCAATTATCTTTGTTCAACTCCTAGTCCCTACAATTATTTGAATTTATATATGAAATTTAGACTACCTGGCCGAAAATGCCAAAGTAAGACTGGTTAGACTCTCTGAGGTTTAAGAAAGGGCTCACACTTTGGAAATAAAATTTCCAAGAACTCTGTTCTGTCCTGCCACCCACCTCTAGCCTCAGGTTTCAATGGAAGTTGAACAATAATGCAAACCCCAGTTACAGAAGGTGAAACAGAACTGACACTCTTCCTTCCTTTGGCCTTGCCTTGATTTTAGAGCTTTTTACAACACAGTTTGAGATCACTCCGCCTGCTGCTCACCTCTGATCCTGAGCCCTAAAACTTTCATTAAGTTATTAACTTTTATTGTGTCTATCAGCATAAATTGTAAGCACATCTTTCAACTCTTGCTTTCCTATAAAAAGATACCATTTCTTTTAGTACGAAAGAGGCATAAACTCTGGTAACTTTCTGACCCAGCAATTGTTTGTGGATAGCTGGGTGGTCATTTTATAGCAACCAATATTTCAATTTTTGGTGTGTTCATAAGGGAAATGATGTGTGGTTACCAGACCTGGGTTGCAAAGATCCAGACAACCACTAGACAGCAGCAAAGACAGTTTTCTGCATCTTTTCACAGCGGTCATCCTGGATTTTGCAGCCCAGATCTAATGGCCCTGAAGTTTTTTCTATGATAACTGGAATTACCTCAAAACCCATGAAGGCTGCTCTAATCTGTTATTATGTGATTAGCATTTTGTTATCCCTGAGCAGTTTCTTTTCTCAGTTACATTGTCTGCAAAGCTTTTTTCCTACGCACCAGCTTTCATCAAAAGGAACCTTGTCTTTATAAATCAATCTGTATGGGCTTTCACAAGCTTAAAGTTACATTAAGAGGTGGCCTGCTTCCTATTTAACTTCCATGTACTGGTAATTTATATACTTTGTATACAAAGTAATGAGGAAGATAGAAGGACAAAGTTATTCAACTAAACAAGGCAAGTAGAACGCATTCGGACAAACACACCAAAATCCAGTGCCATTTTACTGAAGGAGCAGAGTAAAATAAGCCACCGAAGATGGACTTCTGTACTGTAGAAGCAGAATAGACTAGGAAAACATTTCTATACAGCAATCTGTTTCCAAACTTCATGACACTGGAATTTCCCCAAATCTTAAAGTTTAATGATGTGAGCAGTTTTGCTCACAAGCTTAATGCAATGGGAGTTTGCGCTGAAGAAAGCTGAGTAAAACCTACAATACTAAAATACATCATAGCTCTATAATACACTCAAAATATCATACCAGTTTCTAATGCTGCCAGCGCATTGACTAAAAGAAATATATGATTCCCTTTCACAAACCATGTCCTTCATTAAAAATGCCTTCATAATTTTAAAATCAGTGTACCAACAAAATTAATTTAATACAGAATCCTTCATTTTTCATTAATCGTATCCATTACAAACTACAGCAGCATAATACAAAAACAGAGCAATTATATATATTTATACACAACATATGTGTGAGTGTGTGTGTATGTATTTCACTGCATAAAATATTCTGCAGCTGAGAGTTTCAGTAGATCTTTGTATTTTTAGTTTGAAAGAAATAGAGTAAATATGATTACTCTACCATAGGAGTTCTTCAGGCTTCAGAAAATTATATGCACAAGAACATGAACCACAGAACAAACAGGAAAAATATTGAACCTGAGTAAACTCTATTCAAATAGAGGCAATCATTCATTCAATAAATCAAATATTGCACTTTTAAATAAATCTTCATCACAGAAAAGAACACAAAAATATAGCCAGGACAGGAGGGGTACCCACCCCACCAATACCACACACTATAAGAATAGTCATATGCAAACCATAGTTAAAGCTACATAGCTTTTCTCTTTCCCTAAGAATGCCACTTGTGGTCAGTCCTGAAGTGACAACTAATAATCTTACAACTTGGATAAACTGTTCACTCTGCAATGGGCACTCAAAATGAACAATGGGGCAATTCTGTAGTTGTTTTGCATATTGTGAACCAAGTATTACTCTTCTATAGGTATTTGGAAACCTGAGAATACTTGAAGGGTGTGTGTGATAATACTGGACTTAATGGGAAATCACAAATGTGTTTATCACTACAGTATTCAGTTTGCAACACAATAACAAGTTTTTATGTAGGTAGTGTAAGATTTAATTTGGGCTCCAATTCAGAAAAAGTCAAATCCAACTCTGGCTGGTTCAGTTTGGGACCTGAATATGAAATTTAATTATGCAAATCTCAGTGTCTCCACTGAGTGCAACTGGAAATCAAGTTCTGTTTAGAATCTTTTGTCTTTCTAACATAACTTCATGGAAATTGCAGGAATGGTAGGTTCTTGTAAGACAGAGGTGGACAACTTTCCTAGCCTGCAGCAAGGGGCTGCAAGGGAAGGATGGAATACAAATTTGGCCCCTTTTGGGAATGTAGAAATGAGTGGGTAAGGCAAACAACTCTATTCCCATAACTGGAATCTTCTCAAATTCTCCCCAAATGCCCCCAAATGACACCAATGAAATCTGGTAGCAAAGGGACCAAATTTCAGAGCTTTTGCAAAGGTCTCAAGAGATAAAGTGGGAGTGGGCCTACTTCCATTTGTTTCAGCAAGTGATGCTGAAAAATGGCCATTTTGTTACCGAAAGTAAGCAGTGTAACAGTGAAGAGATGGGGGCTATGTGTAGCCTCTGAATGTAGACTATCCCTCCCATGACAAAGGAATTAAGCCTCCTAAATTTAAGTCAATAAGTATAAGGGGGTTGTGCTGGGCATATTGAAACATTGTTTTTAAAATAGAAAAAAATGCCATTAAAAGTTTTTTGGAAGATCTGAGTAACACTTGTTCAGCTAGTAAGCCCATCTAACTTTTTATGTTTGTTCAGTTTCATATGAATAGGTTGAAAAGATTTTGTGCAACAGTTGTCTAACAGGTTGCCAGAAAAGAAGGCACTAATCCCCCATTTGTTTATTTGGACTTTTGCTATTAAAGTAACATATAACACAGAGAAGATTCTAACTAAGAAGCTTGCGTTGTTCTAGAAGAGTAAGTCCATTTTTCTGGAGTGGGGGTTTCTACAGTTTTAAGTTGGATGGGATTTTTATTAAAATAGTGAAACTATACAGATCAACCTATGAAAGGAACATATACAGAAGGGTTTCGCAAATTGCTAAATGAAATAAATTTCCTTTTTTCCTGTCTAATCAGCATTAAATACCATATTTAGACACCAGAGGACTGGGATAGATAATGCATAGGAAGGATGCCATGACTGAGACACTTGAACTACCATGGTCAAGCAGGAAGCCATTGTTATGATATTCCCAGGTCCCATAAATTCCACCTTTAATATACCTGCTTCTGGGTGGAAAACTACTAAAGCACTGATCACTGCAGATACATATTATTTAAAAAAACTTGTCCTGAAGAACTATGATTTGAAAACCTTGATAAAACCATTAAATTTGATAGGAAGTTAGAGTTGTCAATCAACTCACCCTCCTCCCATCTTTGTATTATTAGTTGCACACCCCTAATAGTTAAACCTGTGGTCACAAGTATTGATGGGTACTTTGGATATACCTTATTCTGATATTTACTTTGAAATTAGCATATTCCACAAAGTCAGAGCTTGACTTCCTTTTGTTTCATAAGCAGCTGCTATTTCTCATCACCATTTTCTTTCACATTGTCCTTACTGTTGTCGAATATGATCAACAATAGCAATTCACAAGAATTGCTAAGCATCCAAATTATGACATCAGATGAAATCTCTGGTCATTATACACACTCCAATGAAAAGGTAATAAGGGAAAGTAAGACTGGGGTCAAAGAAGAAAATGGTGCAGAGAAATAGATCAGCCAGGGTCTTCAAAGGGCATAGAAATAATATGAATATGTCTGCAACACACATAAAAAAATTTAGGAAAGTGGAAAATATTTTCAAAACATGAAAATAAAACTGGATGAATTTTACTTTACCGATATAAGAAAGCCTTGTCTTTCTTATAAAACCAAAATATGACATGATAGCTATTGTGTTCACATGATCAAGTAAATTAATTCTGCAGTAAAGCTTCTGCAGAATAAAGCATCATATAAATGAATGGTTGCTACTTCCATAAGGAAGGAATAAGCATAAGTATTCCAGATAAGAAATTGACAATAATCATATTCAAATGTTAGATTTCATCTGAGAATTTCAATACAAAAATATAGATCTCTGATTATTTTGTCTTTAGCAAAATAGAAAGGCACAATTACATAATAAAATATCCTATTTATAAAAGGTATATGTGTTCCCATCTTAAATAAAAGAATTTGAGCAGTCACTGTTGAACTTAAATGTGACCAATATGCATCATTAATATTTCTGGAACAGGAACAACAGAATCAGTATCCTATGAAATCTGAACATGAACATTTTAAAAAAATAATCTAAAAGTGTCTGTGTTTTTCACTCTTCTGAAGTTTTAAAAAGGGATCTTATTATTCAGCCAACATTAATTTCACAATATTTTGCTTTATCAACCCTCAATGCAAAAATTCTCTGCAAAGTACAGTATAGATTTTTTTTTTTAACACTATATCGAAACCACAGTTTCCACTGGCAATTTCACATGTGCATCTTCAAAGCAAGTTCTGAAATCTTTGTGTATAAAGTCATACAAAAGCAGTGCGTATTCCTTCTCTTCTGAAAAAGGCCTAAATGGGAAGCATGTCATTCCTTTGTAGTTATACATGGTAGCCATTTGCCCTCCCAATATATGATGAAGGCGTGAAGTTCTCATAGATTGCCATGGCATTTGTGTTCTGATAGATGAGATCCACTTTCTTCTCTTTCTGAGATTTAATAATGTCCATAACACAGTTGTTTAGGAAGACATACTGATCCTAAGAGGAGAAAAAGACAATGCAATCTTTACCATAGGTTTTAGAAGATGTACCCATCAGTTTGAAGATGCTATGTACTCTGGAGCACTTTGGAGATCAAATCCAAAGCACAATACAGCCCTAATAATCATGACATATCCAATTATTGTTCTGCATGCTTAGAATAGCAGTCTGTCCATACCTCTGTTTGTACCATTAAAGAGCGATGCATTCGTAGATCATATACAACGCCATACACATCAACTGTGTTCTCCATCTCCATTTGTTGGATCAAACGGTCAATTGCAATGAAGGTTCCCGTCCTCCCAACACCAGCACTGTTAAAACAATATATAGGATTGAATACCTTCATCTCATTCTTCTATTATATTTTTCAACCATTACATTTACAATCCAGTTTAAAGACAGCACAGCCCAATTTTGTCTCTTCTATGTAAGGAAAAAAAAAAGAAAGGAAAATAATGTGCTAGTTGTGCAGCTACCCTATTTAATCTATATGCTGTTTTTCCAGGGACTAGAGTACAATGTGGTTAAGTATAATGTACTATATGTAAACAAAAACCATCTTCATCATCTTGTCAAGGTGTGGATGGGAGATTACTGGATTACATGGATGAGAGATTGTTAGGAATAATATGGCTATAGGCTAGACTGGGAAACTGGGGAAAAAAACCTTATACTAGAAGAAGGCAGTGGCCAATCACTTCTGTATCATCATTAAGGAAACTTCATGATTGCATCTGTGAAGCCACCAGGAGTCAACCTTGACTTGAAGGAGGCTTTACCTACTTACCCAAAGCAACAGCCAAGCCAGTTTATGCATAATTTTTTTTTTGCCAGCTGGCAGAAGGATCATGGAGAAGGAAAAAAGAAAGTGCAGATGCTTTTGAATTACTAGGACTATGATAACAAGAAAGTGGCTTTCCAATTTTTAAAAACAAAATATCTAATGCCCAGGCAGGGATTCAAAACGGATGAAGAAGAAAGCATGACCATGCCCTTAGGATTTTTTTTTTTTGACAACTGCGCTAAAGGTTGAATGATTGGTTTGTTTTTATATTTTGATTGTCTACAGAATGAGATAATGCATTTTGGGAAGGGGAATTTAGAAGAAAGCACATGAAAAAGGAAAAAAAATACACTCTCATAGCACAAGTTGGATGTGAGTCCTGATCCTCTCCTTCCCCACAGCTGCTTTGGTTTAATATAAAATTATTTAAAGCTGGAGGGAGCCTGACTTTAAGTCTCCCTCTGGTTTGTTTTTGACTCCATGACCTTGAAAAAATTCTGCCACTTGGGGTAGCTACCATTTAGCAACACTCTATGCCTCAGTGACTGCATACGCATGTTAAGTTAAACCACGAGGGGCAGTTTTTTCATCCCAACGTTTGTACAGCTTATCAAGTGCATATGTCCCCAACACACATATAGTCTCTCTCTGATACATGCCTTGATGCACATGCTATCATATCTGCAAATATACAGACAGCTCTCATCTCAGTCCATTCCTCTCCCTTGGATCATCCAGTCGGCTGGGACCAGGTTGTCTGCTATAGGTGGCAGCATGACGCTCTACCAGACAAGTGATCATAGTTCAAATCTAGTTTGTTTTAAACCAACTAGTTAGATGCCATCAAGTCAAAAACTGTAGTTGGTTGCTCTAGCTGACTGACGCATCACAATTACTTAAAAGTAAATACAAAAACTCTGAATGCCCACTTCTGGCCATGGAGGAGGAGAATACAGAAATCCAAGGTTGAGTGTAACGTTCAAATATAATCAATATAAAATAGCCTCCCTTGTTCAGATGATTTAAGAGGCTAAAAGCCAAAAGGCTGGGTGCACCTTATGTATGTGTGTCAGACTGATAGCGTGCATTTCAAGGGTGGGTTGAGTTCTAATTGTCATATGGCACTGTCACTTACTACCTGATTGTCTGATTTTATAATGTTAAAAGCAGTCATCTCCATGAATATCTTTGAAAAACTGCCACTCATTGTACACAAGCACAACTACACAGAATCATACTTTAATGTTCATAAAGATATTATCTTTGTACCTGCAGTGAACTAAGGCTGGAGAAGATGGTGGCTTCTGCGTCATGTATTCGTGAACCAAGTGCCTGAAGCTGATGAGGAGGTCAGTGGTTTCTGGAACCCCGTGATCAGGCCAGGCAGTGAAGTGAAACTGACGCACAGGATGACTTTCCGGTGAATCACTCTTGTCAAAATACAGAGGAGGAGTTAGAACTCACAAATAAATTATTCCCGTGGATGCCTCCTGGCATCCTTGCCTTACTTTTTTAAAAAATTAAGCTTTGTTCAGACAAGCTATCAAAAGTACTCATATTTCATATACCTGGGTCCTGTAATATCAAACATAGGAAATGCACATTGGGAGAAAAGTAAAGGTGGGCAGATCAAAGCTATCTGGGCAAATGTACATCCTTCCTCAACCTGGTGCCCTCCCGTTGTGTTGGGACTCTATTTCCCAGAATTATCAGGTAGTATTGCCAACAACAAAGCTCACTCGGAATTCTGGGGGTGATATTTTGCACAATTGAGGGCACCAGGTTGGCAAAAAGTGGCATAACTGGAAACAAAACAGCAGGAGTGAAATTAGGTCCAAGGTAGGAAGAGAGAGAATGACAAATTGGTCAGGGTAAATACAAGCAAGGGGACAAAAAAAAACAAGCTATGTTTATGAGTTCACATTAAGAACCAAATAAATTTCCTACCCTAAATTTTCTATTCAACATTCTTATTTTTTATGATGATGCTAGAAGCTGACTAACTGGAATTAAATGTGGATAATGCAGGTGCAGGCAAATGCCCATTTATATGTAGTTTTACTATGATCTTTAAGAAAAGGATTTATCCTCTGAATTTCGGTGTGGGGAATAATTTATTGCCCCCCATTCTGAAATCTGTAGTCACTATGTTGCTCCTATCAGGAATAATTTAAAAATAAGAGTAATTTCTGGATCCTGGCACATGTATTCTTAATTAAAGACTGATAAAATTCTGCCTAGCTCCAAACTTCAGGGGTTTAAAGTATTTGTTTTCCTGCCCAAATTCCTTGAGACAAGCCAAGATATGAACTGATCTTAAGTAAGTAAGTAAGTAAATACTAAATTTAGCTCTAGAAACAAACCACACAGAATTGTTAAAACATAGGCCCAATGCCAATCTTGGTGCATTGGTGAAAAATTAACTCTATCAAATCCAGTTTTACAGTATTTATTTTATCATAACTAAATGATAAAAATGGGGGTGTATTACAGGGCTGTTTTCATTCAATGTCTACATAAAACCACTTGGTGAGATCATCCATTGGCATGGGGTTAGGTTTCATTACTCTCTTGATGGCACCCAATTGAACATCTTGACCCCTGACTATTCAGTAATCTTTAAGGGCAGCCCCATGATCAAGATGGAAAGGGGAAGGGTGTAAGTGACCTTGTTCTAGATCAGGCTCAGTGGGGGGTACCACATGAAGCTGGACAAAGGCCCTCCTGGCCACGATCTCCATGTATTCCTGAGGTGCCTGCAGGTTTGACCACCCCTACTACCACAGACTTGTCTGCTCAGAAAGAAATGGAATCACCATAAAATAGTGCCTCCCACTTCCAACTTTTATAGGCAGCCCAGAAGGACACTGTGGTTCACAATACTAAAGGCTGCCAAGCTGTCTAGCAAGTCAAGAATGGTTGTGCTCCCACCATCCATGCCTTGCCACAAGTCATTTATGCGGTTTCTGCCCCATACCATGGGTCTGAACCCTGATTGCCAAGAGTCCAGGTAATCTGCTTTTATCAGAGTGCTCTGAAATATAGGATCACAACTCACTTGTTCCATGGAGAAATCTCTTATTGTCCACTCTGGAAGGACAATTTCTGAAGTCATGGCCACTGTTATATCCCCATATTTCATGGACTGTTTGTTCGGCCAATACTCTTCACATTTTGTCTAAAAGTATAAATGACATGTAAAATAATGTTATTGTCAAATCCTTTCTTGGACTGGAGATACCATAGCTGAAAGATATTACAATAAATCAGCTTTCAATAACATTGTACCAGACAGACATGATGTAACCATAACTCTTAAGATTCTTAGCCAGCATGGTTAGAGAACTCAAGAAACTACTGAAAACCATGTCTCCTCTACCTTGAAGACTAACATGATTCCAATCACCATCTAGAGATCAGTTACACGAAACCGTCTCATCCTTGCCACAGAGCACTATTCTAATTATCTGTTCCTCTATGTCTATAGACATGACATGCTGGAGGATCAGCTGCTCCTTCGTAGCTGCATTATCTCCAAGAATATAAATAAAATCTAAATGGAAATATGTATCTGTTAATAATTGACTTTTTATTTTGGCCCTGTCAAAACTGACCACACTCTCCTATCCTTTTCCTAAACTCATTTTTTAGTGTGGACAGAATCTGAATCTTGGCTTTTCCTTGCACAGCTCTCTCTACCAGCAATATATATTGCATCTTAATTATTCAGAAACTGGCAATAGTTTTTGTATAAGGAGCAGGGAATAATAGTCTTAAATAAATTCTAATGCCACTCATGTGTAGCACAGTTGTTGTGTGCTGTGATGTTTTGTAACTGGTCCCAGAATTTTAAAAAACTTACCCGGCCTTGTTCAATGCATTTAGTCAACATAACAACTGTGTAAATCTTCTTCTCCCAGATCATGCGCCAGAAATCTTGCACAGTGTTAGGCAAAGGGCCTTGTGCAGCAATGAACTCTTTCTTGGAGTTATACCCCTGTGATAAAAGTATGGCCTCAGTATCATTTTTTAACAACCTCCCCACACTAAATAACATGGGTTTTAAACAGACCAGGAAGACTTACAGGTATATAATTTGCATTAATATAATCATTAGTTGGATGATTTTGAATTGAAAGTTTAACGCGAGAAATATCATCTGCAAGGAGAAAAAAAGAGATGTTAATTAATTTCTATGGCCGCCCATCTCAAGCGAGAGACTCTGGGTGGTGAACAATCATAAAATCAATTAAAACCAATGACAAACAGAATACAAAAAATAAATATATACAATATGAACTCCCTTCATAATTCTTAACTGAAACATGACAGCCCAGGTCCACCATCCATACCAAATTTGTTGTCATGACCCAAATAAAATATGGAGAATTTAAAATCAAAATCGAAGTTGCATTTTCTATTATAACTATGCAGAAAAGCTAGCAGGAATCGCTGTTGCACAAATGGAAGTTATGATCACATTTTTTAAAGTTATAGCTAAACTACTTTCAGTAGTAGTAAGAATAAACAAAGAACAAGAATGGGGAACTTACAAGGCAAAACATTATTATATCTGTTTTTTCCTTTGTTTTCTGGCAATTCAGCAGCAAATTTAGGCTGATTAGCACCAACTAACCTGAGAATCTACAACAGAGAAAGATATAATTTATTACTTTTCTGTCTCAAAACACAGAAATTGTTTTTGAACATTTAGCATTGTTGTACTTCAGTAACAGTGGATGCCAGGAAAGGTCATTTTTATCTCTGCTTGTTATTTTGCTTTCATAATTGAGTTTTGGCTCTTTACTGAAATCCACTCAAATATATAACTGTTACAAGTTGCAAGAATTCAGTTAATAATGGAAGTGACCATATATGTATGGAAAATAGTTCCTGTGTGAATAAGAATTGTAAAAATGCATACCTCATACTCTTCAGCAAAACCACAGTTTGAGTCAGCTCTCTGTTTCTTAAAATAAGACTCATAATGGTCAACTTTAAGTAACTTTGATCTGTAAAAGACAAAAACAGCAACTACTGTTTAGTGCACAGTTTTGTTCAAACCACAAAAAAGGACTGAGACTTTGGGAATTAACCCCTTAATTATGCAAAAAACTCCCATGCATAAGAACCAAATGTGTCCACTGAGAAATGCTAAAGCATATCAAGGTATGAATTAGAGACAATAGCAATTCAGAAATTCCAAAGATCAAAAGCATAGTCACTTGACAAGTGAAGTGCTTAACATGTAAAGGAAGAAAATAAAACTTCACTCAACTCAAACCCTAAATCAACACTAAACAGCTTAGAAACTAAGCAGAAATCATAATATGTAAGTACTTGGGTAGAGAGGGAGACACATTAATTTTGTTTGTTTATTCAGGGTTGAATTATTTACTTACTTTTTAGGTCTGGAAAGGAAAAAGGAAAGAAAAAGAAAAAAAATATGCATTAGTTATAGTCTTTATTAACTGAGCAAAACAATTTTCATATATAATACTTGGGATTTAGCAAAGGTTGTAATAAGTTCCATAAAATAATTCCCTGTTGTGATATGAATGGTTCCAATTAAGTTTTGAAACCAATGCATTGCGTTAAAAACCTATCTTATCCAGATTTTAAGCTATCTTAATGCCATTTCCAATTATTTGTTTCCTTTTTTCCTGCTTCTTAGATATGTTACTTCATTCAGAAGGACTTTAAAATAGTTAATATTAAGATTAAACTAGATGTGATACCACTTGCACAATTAGTAACTATGTGGATGGTTTTCTTAAAGGTTAGCTGGCTTATTAAAATTCTAATGACCTTAAATGTTTGTAAAGCTTTGGAAATGTTATGGAATGTATTTATTTATTTAAATATATTGGCCACCCAACTCCAGTGGACTCTGTATATCATTCTGTCCCACCCGTTTTCAAACCAGGATCAGATAAAAAAATAGTTCAAACAGATTTCTGAGTACTAGGCAAAGAAAAAAAAAGCAGCATTCAACTCACTCAATTTGTGTAAATGGCACTTCGTTATTTCTACCTTTCCTATAAAATTGGAGATTTGAAAACAAGTTAGTTGGGATTTTCATCCTTTAACATTCACAACAAACTAGCTATGTAGCTTTTCATAGGTTTGGTTAATGCACTTACATGATGCCATAAATTATGCTCTTGGGTAGGCAATATGTTTATGAAAATTCTCAGTCATCCAGGTGGAATTGCCATGACTCAACCTCCAGACTTTTGGGTAGACAACACATGTGTTTTCAGAAATTGCTAAAGGATGGTGTGTTTAATCTTCTGTCACAAGACAGATCTGGGTAACCACCAATCCTGCCTTATCATTCCAGAATACATAGCTTATAACCAAGAAAAAGGTCTGTGTAGCAACAGATCGAAACGAAGATTAAACAAAAACATGCTCTCCATGTTTTGAATCACAACTCCCATAATCCATTAATAGCTATGCTGACTGGATCTTTTAGTCAAAGTTATCTAGAGGAAACCACACAGACAATGATCTAACTGGGAATTCTGGGAGTTCCAGACCTAACCCATTTGGAGAGTCTTGGTGGAAGAAACTGCAGTAGAGGTACCTATGATTTATCATGGAACTCAAAATGTAGCTGAATTATGAAGTTGTTATTGTACCTTTTCTTTTTCCAGAAGATGAATGCCACTACTGCAACAATCACTACCAGAACCAGAACGCACCCAACAACAGCTCCTGTAATGACACCTTGAGGGGGAAGAAAAGAGAGACAGAAAGAGAGAGAGAGTCTTCCTCATACTTTTTATGCTCCCCTACACCCATCTAATGCCCCTACCCCCTTTTTTAGGCTCGCTCTTTCTCTCTTTTATATCTTCTAGCTTTCTATCATTCTTTTTAGATTTTCATCTTCACTCTTGATGTATATTTTTAGATCCTTTATGCTTCTTTTTAATGACTGTACACCATCCCCTTATGCTGGTCTATGACTGTAATAAAGATTTGATTATGCTCTGTTTTGCTGCTTTTATTGCCACAATGTAGTCCTTAATAAAGGCAGCCAACTGAACTGGATCAGCTGTATCTCGAAACTTCATTGATATGGAGCAGTGTTTGGCAACTTTAAGATGTGTGGACTTCAACTGCCAGAATTCCCCAGCCACCATGCTGGAGAAACACTGATAGAGAGCAATATACTACTTCAAAGCGAATTGCCAATTCACACATCCCTTATGTTTATCGTTTTACATATATTTGTTAGTTCTCAGAATTGAGAGTGGATTCAGGAACAGGGGCTGCCTATGCAGTATTCTCCCATGCAGTATCCTTAGGGATAAGGAATATCCAACGCCACATGTTAAGTAAACAAATCTGCCCTGCTTTTTAAAAAAAAAACTCCTGGTAATTTAAGAAACTGGTGCCTAATAACACTAAGTAAATTTAAGGGCCTGGAGCTAAGAACACTAAGTAAAATGTATAGTTTGTGAATTGTCATATATGCTAGCACATATAAGGCTTCAGACTAGCATAGAACAAGTCCCTATACATGCAGATTCCTATTAGTAGGAGGAGTGGAAGCCAATGGAATATTGTCTGTCATGTGCACCAGCTTAAACTCTACCTGGCTGCAGAATGCCTGGCTTCAGTAATTCACTGCTGTGATAAATTCAGATTATAGCTTGATCTGCATGGGAATGTCTTAGAAAATGGTTCCAAATCTGGGGATAAGACTGTTAACTTGGATTGACCATTAAAGTTATATTATGCTTATGCTTCAGTAACCGCAGGATGTCTCCGTTTATTGTTGGATTTGAGTCAAACAGTGGCTATAACATGGTCTTCCAAAGCTTAGGGCCAAGTCTCTAAATAAATGCTTGTCTCTACAAAGGTTTGCTTGTACAGTGAGATCTTCAACAAAGATCTTTCCTTGGGTGTCCTTGATATTTTAAATACCGTGGATGTTTTTTTTACAGATGGCTACCCCAAGGGTGTATTAATGTTCCCAGGATGGCCTACGTGATGCTCACCCTAAGACCTTATATTTTCCTAGTCTGTTAAACTACTTTTATGCTGCTGTCTATTTATGAATACACAATATTGACTTTCTCTTCAAATTCAGTAAGGATTTTGATCAGAAGATTCAAAAGTTTTGGTCAGAGCACAGTTGGGTTTGCAACAAGAATTTAATCAGTACCTGGATTCTGAGGTAAGACAACAGATGGTGAAAGAGGTGAAAATGAGACATAACTCTTCTCTATGTTGACAATGGTCTCATTCAAAAATACAATATGAGTGAAAGCAGCAACACATGCCCTAATCAAAGATAGGGGAGAAAGTAAGTAGCTATTAGGCTGAAATACAGTCAAAAGTTTCAAGAGATACGTAGATTACTCATTCATAATATTTTGTTCACATGCAACATTGGAAAATACAATATAAAACTTGAGAAAAATTACCTGTATGAACTAAGAGGATCTAATTTTCCATTAAAATAACCGTATGTGGTAGATCCATTTCCTATTTCAACCTCATAGTCCTGATTGTTGGTGGAGAAAGATGAACGTTTCTGTTCAGTTTTGACATATGCAACATAACTTCCTGTTTTTTTACTGCTGAAGTCATTATATGTGTACTTTAAAGACTCATTTGAGATTGTACCTATTTAGAAAAATAACACATTTTAAGCTAAAGTTGAATGATAAGCAGAACTTCAACAAAATGTTAATATACTGTTTTTAAATTGGGAAAAAAAAACCCCGGTGAAACATGTTTTTACTATTTTATTTAGCTGTCTGGGAAGTTTGTTGATGACTGTAACATTCCTAACATTTATAAATGCAAGATTTCATATTCTTGTATTCCTGGGCAAAGTTACAGTGCAAATATCTAAAGATGGTTAGTTTAATTCACTTTTGGAAATAGTTTATATACATTTTTAAGAATAAATGAACAGTGTTTTTCTTCAGTTTCTAGAATTTGCTGGAAAAAAGGAAATACTTTTTCAGCTGAATGTTTCTGAAATTGATCATATTGCTTTTTAATTTTCGAAGTTACCACTGGAATGGAATTTGAAGATGTAGTCATTTCACTCACTTCCTCACTTTTTAGAAGAAAAAAATATCCAGCGCTCGCGCTCCTTGATCAGTTTGGGTAGGTCAGTGGGGACACTTCAGCTGATACTACAGATTCTGCAGAGGAGGATGCCTATAACAGTTTCTGATTATTGTTTTATAGCTCCTTAAGGATTTATTGAGCAATTGTTCAGGTATGTAGCTGGTCCCCTACAGGGGCAGGCCTCATCTATTCCTCTGCCTTCAGAATGTCCCGCAGTTTATAGAAATTATGTAATTCCAACGTGACTTATAAAAACTGTTTTAACATAGTTTTATTTTAAACATATCCTTGTTGTTCTGCTCTACATTCATGATGTTCACGACATACAGAAGCAAGCTCAGGTGCTGAAGTCCTTACAAACCAGAACAAAGGAGCAAAGGGAACATTTAACTCCATAACTAATTGAATAAATGGATCCATATGGAAATGTTCTGAGGTTTTGTACAAAAGGGGACACAATACTGGGAATCAACTTCATAGCAAGCCACCATCAACCCTCTTGAAACTAAGGCCTTTCTCTAACATTAAAGTAAATGCCCAACCTCAATAAATTAAGAAATGATGGTATATAGGGCTGTGTTGGACAACACTCACAGCAGTGACTCCTGTGAGATGGGTGGCCATATAAAATTGTACTGTAGGTATGTATAAACAAATAAATTTCTGTCCCCTCATAATGTTTGACAGGTGGAACATTACTGCGTAACATTCACCAGAAAATTACTGTCTTGCCAATTATCACCTAGAATTAATACACTGCACCGCATTTCATTACAGTCACCCTACCTAAATATAGATACAATACTCTAGGGATCAGATAAGCTGATAAGCTGTCCATCTCAGGACAAAAATTAAGCATAGTTGAATGTGCATGCTGTTAATGATTCAGAGTAATTTCCGTGTTATATTTCCATGTTATGTTCTATGAGTAATTTCCATGTTATGTTTTACTGATACAGCGTTAAGATGTTTGTAAAACTCTTGGTGGCCTCACTGACTTATCAAGGTTGTTTTCTTAGCAACAATATAGAAGTTGTTTTCCACTGCTTTTTTCTGCTTTTTGACTTCCCAGTTTAGCTCACAGCTACGGTAATTCCTGGTTTCCTATCAAATAAAGTCCAAACCTGCATAACTTTTCAAAATCAACCAGGATCACCTAGATATAATTTGCAGGCGTGCAATAAACAGCGTAAGGGCTATTCTCCCAACAGTTTTTAAAAACAAGAGGAAATGACCTTTGCATACAGCATATACTGGATCCAAGTGCTGGCTTAGAATTTAGCTTTCACTTCTTACTTTTCCCCCCCTTTTTAATAACAGAATCTCGTATAAAAACCTTCATGACATAAAGACAAAGTATTTTTAGATAAATGAAAAAAATAGTTGTACTAGGGATGTAATATATTTACCTTCTGCTGTGGTAATTATTACTGCATATGCTTTTATAGGTCCATGACTTGAACTAAAACTACTGAACCGAACATTTAAAGAATTGTGGCTGGTTGCCATGACAGCAGGGGACTCGTGCAAAGGTGGGGGATCTGGAAAAGAAAAAGTAACCATGAACTTATCAGTATATGGAAGGAATGAGAAAAAACACTGTGCCAAACAACCGTCCAGACAGTCATTCACAATCATGCAAACTTTATGACTTCATGTTCCAAGCTGAACTGCAGAAAGGGATGCGGTGAAGCTGTCTTGATAGTTGCTCACAACTACCTCCAAGTAAAAGATGTTCCAGTTTGGACTGGCATCTCCTCATTTGAACTAGTAATTTTGTAATACATATATACCAATTTAGAGATTCATCCCTGGAACTGGAGACAAATGTATTGCCACATCAGATGGATTATGTACCATCAAGTTGGTATCAACTCTTAGTGACCACATACATACCGACATACTAATAAGAGCTGTAAACCATAAGAAACAAAACTGTCCCCCTTTGCTTACTAAAAAGTTGAAACAACCAGTATATAAAAAGGAACAGAAGTACCATTTCCTTCAGATGTGTTCTCCCACAAATCTGCTCCACAAATTTATAAAGCAGATTTTGAGGGGTGTAAGGAAGAGAAAGAAAGCACTGACCCACCGAAATTTCATGTAAGTACATTTCTCATGTAAAAATCACAATATACAGTGGGGCAAAAAAGTATTTAGTCAGCCACCAATTGTGCAAGTTCTCCCACTTAAAAAGATCTCAATACTTTGTTATATATCCTTTGTTGGCAATGACAGAGGTCAAACGTTTTCTGTAAGTCTTCACAAGGTTTTCACACACTGTTGCTGGTATTTTGGCCCATTCCTCCATGCAGATCTCCTCTAGAGCAGTGATGTTTTGGGGCTGTCACTGGGCAACACAGACTTTCAACCCCCAAAGCATGATGTTTCCACCCCCATGCTTCACAGTAGGTATGGTGTTCTTTGGATGCAACTCAGCATTCTCTCTCCTCCAAACACAATGAGTTCCCCAAAGCATGATGTTTCCACCCCCATGCTTCACAGTAGGTATGGTGTTCTTTGGATGCAACTCAGCATTCTCTCTCCTCCAAACACAATGAGTTCCCCAAAGCATGATGTTTCCACCCCCATGCTTCACAGTAGGTATGGTGTTCTTTGGATGCAACTCAGCATTCTCTCTCCTCCAAACACAATGAGTTCCCCAAAGCATGATGTTTCCACCCCCATGCTTCACAGTAGGTATGGTGTTCTTTGGATGCAACTCAGCATTCTCTCTCCTCCAAACACAATGAGTTCCCCAAAGCATGATGTTTCCACCCCCATGCTTCACAGTAGGTATGGTGTTCTTTGGATGCAACTCAGCATTCTCTCTCCTCCAAACACAATGAGTTCCCCAAAGCATGATGTTTCCACCCCCATGCTTCACAGTAGGTATGGTGTTCTTTGGATGCAACTCAGCATTCTCTCTCCTCCAAACACAATGAGTTTTGCAAATAAATTCTTTTAAAATCAGACAATGTGATTTTCTGGGGTTTTTTTCCCATTTTGTCTCTCATAGTTGAGGTATACCTATGATGAAAATTACAGGCCTCTCTCATCTTTTTAAGTGGGAGAACTTGCACAATTGGTGGCTGACTAAATACTTTTTTGTCCCACTGTATATACAAGCATCCAATAGCTGTTATCATTTTTATTCATTCAACAAGTTCATACAAGGTAGCTTTATGCTTACTAGTAATACTTGTGAGGCATGTTTGTTCCTGAGGAATGCTCCTTTTCCCACATGAAAGGGTGAAAATTCTAATGGTATAATTGGTAAAGTAAGCCAGATCTGTCACTGTGGTTTGATATTTTTTCTCCAAGGTCTTGTTCCAATGATCTAGGACTTCAATATTGAAGCCTTCATAACCTCCTGTTGGACCACTCCAGTTTAGAAATAATTCTGGCTGTTTCACTACTGGATTGCAGTCCAATTTATCCACTGATGCTGCATCTGCAATAAAACAGAATACCTATGCTGGTCACATTTGCTATTCAATAAGCAGATAAATTAGAATGAAAAATGTAGTAGCAAGGAGCTAAGTAAAACACAGTTTTTTCCTATTAGATATCTCTATTTTTTAAAAAAGATGCTGAAGAGTTATTCATTCCAGGAATGCAAATGGGATATTAAGAGAAAAACCGTATCAACATAACAATGGGTTATTATTGCACAAGGAGAAAGATACTAAACCCAAATAAATTTCATCTAATCAATGAATGAATTTAGGCGATTATATTTACAATATCTATGGAGTAAGCTCTCTTGGATACACTTGCACTTATTTCTGAGGAGACCCGAACAGAATTCCATTACTAATAACATTCTCAAAGTCACAAATTTAGAAACATTTGAGTATTTGTTGTAGTCTAAAAACACTACTCAGCTGAAATATTGCCTATAACTTTGAAAAGATTCAGAATTACATTTATGCAATATAAAGATTGATTGACAGAAACAAACTCTACCATTCTATTATAATCTCATCATCTTTACATTTCTATTTGTCCTGAGCTTTCTGATTTCAAGGCAGTCTTGAGTAGATATTGGCTGGCTTCACTCAATACATTTAACCAGATCATAGTTAAAGACACAACATACGTTTTGTTAGTTTTAACCTTGTTTAGATTTTATTTTGGTAGCTTAGCATGGTATAGGACAACATTTTGTTAGTTTCTGATGCAGTATATAATATCACCCCAGAAAAATGGATTAATTTGGTAACCAAGTTGTTTGTTGTATAAATATGCAACTTTGATGTATTAGCCAGCCAGTTATTAGAGTCAGGGACCCTCCCAGTATAGAGGAAATGATAGAGATTCCTAGTGGTGCAAGAGATGATAAAACATGACATCTGCTTTTACATGCAACACCCAGGAAAAGCTGTTCTGCAAACAAAAGAGGACTTCTTACAAGAGTGCATCTCTACAGAAAAACCCTTATCAGTTTCTAAGGAATCACATAACATTTTACAGATAGAAATGTAGGAAACTTCCATCTATGGCATTCCTGACAGATGATTATCTAGCTCTGCTTGTGGGACTCAGTGGCACTGTTAAATATCTTTTAAAATATCTGTCCTAATATTTAGTTGCTGTACTAGCCCAGATGGGGGAATTTAAAAAGTGGCATGGCTTAACATCCAACTGCTAGAAACAAGGTAGCATCCAACTGAAACAGAACAGCATATCTGAATACTACTTGTTTGTCCAGTCCAGAATACATGCTTTTTGGATTATGTTCAAAGCAGACCATCCTTTTCTTCTATTGTAGCTGCCCTTTGGACACAATTCCCCCTGAAATTAGATTGGCCCTGATCTGCTGGTCTTTCGGAAGGGACTGGGAGATTAGGTGAGCCTGTAAGTTATTGTTATGACTGCTGATGGTTATTCTCAGCTGCCATCCTTTTTAACTTCTTTGAGTATTGTTATTTTTTATTATTATTAATACACTGGAATTCTTAACTCTGTTCGCCACCCAGTGTGACTTTTGTTACACTGAATAAAATAAAATAAATAAAAATCTTTGATCCACTTTCTAGATAGAGCAAAGCATATGCAGCAGAGAGATTTCACTCCATGTAAAAATCATATGAAAATGCTCATTCTGTGCACAGAGCAATTCCCACATCTTTAGTATAAATGTCTCTAGAGGCTTACTTGTACAATTATTTATGCTCTCGGGTGTTCCTTCAGTCTTGTGATCTGCTGCTATGGAACGTATGCTGAAGTTATAGTTAGTACCAGGATTTAGCCCTGAAATGTCAGTGCTGGGAGTTGGAGATATTTTTTCAGATTCTCCATTGATGAGTATCCTATAAGAGTACGTAGAAGCAGCCGCATCAGGACTTTTCCATGATATCTTGACCATAGTTGTACTGACATCTATAACTCTGATGTTGTAGACTGAGCTAGGCTCTGTAAAGAAAAAAAGGTCTTTGAATATACACGTATACATACACGCGCACAGAATCTTGATGTCTTCAACTGTCTGATCATCTTTATTACCAAATCATTTATCATTAAAACCATATATCATAAGCAATTCAAACATAGTAGTAATTTTCATCCTGTACTTACAGCAAGTCCACTTCATCTGCCAGGTAAAAGGAATGGATTACTAAAATAGTCTGGAACAAGGTGCCTAGCTCACCCCTCCACCAGGTTGGCAATCAGACCCACCTTTTAATTAAATTTTAAAAAGTAATTTAAAATGTAGGTGAAGAGCCTTTCAAAATGTCACACTTCTCACATATGATTATGTGAGATCTCAGGTAATAACACTGAAAATAATACCTGAAAAAAATCATGAGACTTTGGAATTCTTGAGGGAAGATCAGATTACTGAAAAACTGCAAGATCTGACATCTTGTAAGAATCTGGGAAAGTCTTAAAAATGGATGGGGATGGGGATCCAAGTCATTGTGTGACGAAACCTGAAAACTCCTGTATTACAGAATGAAAACAAAAACCAAGATAATCCCCTCCCCCCAATGCAATCCAAAGAATTCAATGGAGACAGCTTTTTTCTGAGAGCCTTAGAGGTCATTGTAGGGAGGCAGCTGGATCCCCAGCTGCCACTAATCATGCACAGATGTTTCTTAGAAAAGGATGGTTGAGATTCAGTCTTTCTGTAGATACACACCAGCGTAAGAAAGCAAAATAAAACATCTGGCATTAATTGATACATTTGGGATACCCGTATGAACACATTTTTCTCTATCGTTGCTTTTCACTACAGAACAAGGAAACAAGGGAAACACTTCAAAAGAATAGCCTCACTAAGCAAGCCAAGGTGTTCCAGAACTCAGACAGGGAATTCTGAGCACTGTTGAGATTCATCATTTCAAGAAATGGGAGGAGCTTATGACAAAAACAAAAACAAAAAAACAAAACTGGAGTTGAGCTCAAATTCCGCTGATTTCATTGGATGAATCTGTGCAGTTTTTAAGCAACAATACCGAAGCAGATGGACGTTTCTTTCAAATGTTCCAGTCTAATCTACAGCCTTGGAATCCCCTGGTGGTCTACCATCCAAGTACTAAACAGATCTGATTCTGCTTAGCTACAAGCCTCAAACAGGGTTAGAGAGCTACTGCCTCTTGCTGAGATTTACAACAAAATCATAGAATAGAGAAAAACATTGATTCAGTAAGATATTTCCATATTTATGACTACTTGAAGTATAGGTTCGGTCTTATGGAAAATGCAGCTTTGGAGCCCACATGTACTGTACATGATGCTATAATGCTGATGAGTAAAAATTTACCTGCAAATTTGTTCAACCTATAAAAATTAGTCAACTAAAGCTTTAGTAAAGGCACCGTCATCAGTAAAGTTAAAGGTTCAGTGGAACTTTACTGAGCATCAGAGATGGGCTAAACTATCGCTCTCTTCCCCACAAGTTTCCAACTCTCAAAATCCACCCAGTGAACTCTGAATAGCTAAAACGACTAACATTTTTGTTTAAAATATGTTTTGCATTATTAGTATGAGGTGAAGAGTTTCAAATCTAATTGTATCAACATGAACGCAGGCTTGTTTAAAACAGATGTGTTATTAGCAACAGATTTATTTTGATTGTCTTCTGGGAAACGTGGGTTTCAATTCCTGCCCCTTTCATTTTGAGAAAGCACTTCCACAGTTTCATGCTCATGGACTTTGGGAAGCACATAAGAGATTATTAGATTTTTATTTGTCAAAGTTACTTCCCACCGAAAAGCAGAGGCCTCCCAAATTATTTCTCCTTCAGGCTATTATCAACATGATTACCACACTAATTACTGGTTCATTATTCACAATACAGTAAATGTTTCAATATCTATAAATATAAAGGCTTTGTAAGATGGCTCATGTTGTGACAATCAAATGCACTAATACATAGAAGGTGTCTGGCTTAAGGGTTCCAATAACCATTTTCTTGAATTATGATGGTACAAACATTTGTATCATTTTGTTTATAAGCATACCCCTGGAGAAGTATTATCACCATCAGGCTAAGCTAAATTTACTGTACTTGTACTGAAAAAATCAAAATGGAAGCCAGAAACATGACTGAGTCCAATATGGAAAGCACAAAAGAAAAATAGATTTCAACCTTGGTGCGTGCGTGTGTGCTTGCTTGCTTGCTTATTTATTTATTTATTTATAGGCTTTAACTATTCAATTTTTTTTACTACAAATGTCAAAGTCAATCTCATTCAATCTTGTTTTGCATGAAAGCATACTGGGAATGTAAAGAATACTTTTTTGTCATTAAATTAATACATCTCTTAATTTATTTTATTTACTGATATAACTGTTTTCTGAGAGTTTAGGGTAATGGGTAAATTTATGCTTTGATTACATAAAAATACAGTACACATGATGAGACTTATGAGAGAAAAATAAAATAATCTGCAATAATGGCAAATTCCAATAAGTTATATTAACATGTCACATAGTATTATTAATCATATGTTAATATTGCACTAAAACATTAGTCTTTCAGCATGTTAGACTTTATGTTCTGTTTAACTCCATGCTGTGCATTTATAAAATAACCAGAAAAAAATCACGTATCTTAATTTAGTGTACTTACTTGTATAAACTTCTGTTCCTTTTGGATCTCCTTCAGTTTTATTATCACCAACTTGTGCATATATTTCAAACCTGTATAATGTTCCATGGTCCAACTGAATGACTCGCACATATGTGGTACTAGAAGTTATATTGCGCAAATGACCAGGTCTATCAATGTGTATTCGGTAAGTGTAATTCACTGCATTTGTATCATTATTTTCCCATTTTAAATCCAGGGTTTTAGTAGTGATGCTTTCAGCTTTAATATCAAAAACTGGACTGGGCTCTGTTTAAGAGAAAAGGTATTTAGATTT